TTCCACATAGGGAGCAGATGCTGTGGAATTGTACCCAAGGGCAGACCAGGCCACAAGTACCTCTAGAAGCTGGGCCTCCCAGGAGGGCTATAGTCTGGTCACTGTGTTGTCCAGGGTCTGAATCCTGTTGTTATGTGAGGTGGCACAGGTTGGCGGCTGGTGATGACTTCACCCTCTTCCCACTGTTGCTCCACAAACCTCTGTGGTTTTTAAAGGTGCCTACCCAGGCTCCCTGTTTGATTGGGTTGACAGTGGTGGCTGCTTCGTGGTGGATGCTTTTAGTTAAGCTGCAGTTTGTTCCTCTAGGTCCGTGGTGGTGAAGAACAGGAAGGTCAGGACTAAGCGAGTCTGTGCCTCCATATGTCCCTGGGATGGGGAGCTGCAGCCCCCTTGCTGCATCTCCTTCTTGAGGCCAAGTTCTGTCTTGCTTGCCTTCCTGTCCCCAGGTTCCACCCTGCTACTGTCCCTTCCCAGGCTGGTCCTGCTGAGTGCCTGCTGGTGTGCTAGACCTGGCTGAGCCAGTACAGGTTGTCTTGAGCACTGCTTTTGATGACAGCAGCTGTCAGACCTTGGGACTCTGCTGCGTCCCAGCGTGGAGCTGCGTGCTTTCTGTGCATCTCCCTTTCTCGTTCTTAGGAAGTGGCCTCTACAGGGCGGTCGCACCTGAGGCCCGGGAGGCTTGTGTGAGTGGCAGGGCCTGGATCCAGATTGCTGGTCTTGATGCTGCTGCTCATCAGAGAGAACTGCTACCTGTACTGCTGCCCCTGGCTGTTTTAACCATTCTTTATTCAGAAGGAAAAAGTGCTTTTCTGTGCGGGCCAGTGTGATCCAGTCTGAACCGGGGCTGATGAGCACTGGACTAGCAGAAATGCTGACCTTGGCCACGGAAGCACAAACGGCATTTTAAGGAGCAGCCACCTCGTTTGGAGCTTCCGCTGTCAGGGGTGCAAGGGCTAATGTATGGTGGTCCTCAATTTGGCGTGAGTACTGAATGTCCTGTGTCTCCTTATTTCAGTTGTTGACAACAGCAGCAACTGGGCTGTGTGCGGAAAGAGCTGTGGTGTCGTCTCCATGCCTGTGGCTGCTCAGGCCACTCACAGAGTCCACATGGAAGTCATGCCTCTCTTTGCGGGCTACCTGCCCTTGCCTGACGTCCGGCTGTTTAAATACCTCCCTCATCACTCTGCACACTCCTCACAGCTGGATGCTGGTAAGGACTTCGGGAGAGAGGGCACAGACCTCCTTGACCTATGACAGGCCATCTGACAGCCTGCCATCAGGCCAGAGTATCGTAAGCTGGAAATGCCTGCACTATGCCTGACCCACCGGCCATCTGGTTAGCCAGGCCTCCCTTCAGGGGCTCAGCACAGTCCTTAGCCTGTGGGAGGGCAGACTCCTCTGACCTGAAGCCTTGTGAGCTTCAGGTTCCAGATAAGTGCAGGTTCCAGAGCATTCAAAACGCAGTACCCAGAAGACACTGGCACCACGGTGCACCCTGGGGCTGGTTGTCCCCTGGTAATCACAGGCTGCTGGTTGCTGCAGCTCTCAAGAGAGGGTCAGACCACATGTCACCAGCCTGGGAGAAAATTAAGATTCAAAATCTGAAGGGTGGTTTCCACTGAATGTGTACTGCTTTCACTCCTTTGGAAAGCGGAAAAGGTCATAGGTGGAACCATTGTAAGGAAAGGACTGTCCATGTCAGTTCAGTAAGCAGGCTATAGCCTCTCATGGAGAAGTGCTCTCTGTATGCAGGGCATACTGGAGAATCAACTTGTTTTCAGAGCTGATAGAACTAGTACAGAACCTTGTCCCCGGTCACAGTTGGCCTCGCTCAGAGGGTTGAGCCTCTCTCTATCCACAGGGTTCTGTTAAGGCAGGGCCTGGGGTGACAGACTTTCACACCCACAGGTCAGCAAGGGCAGCTTTGCCCCTCTGGGCTGGTGCTTCTGCTTGGTCTCACTTTTGTGTGTTCTGCAGACAGCTGGATAGAAAACGACAGCCTGTCGGTGGACAAGCACCCAGACGACCAGCTGGACTGCAGCAGTGTGCGGAGTAGAGGCAGTGTAGCCTCAGTCGCCAGCAGCGAGCACAAAGGCTTGCCCATGCCCCGGCTCCAGGCGCTCCCTGCTGGGCAAGTCTTCAACTCCAGCATGGGCATGCAGGTCCTGGTCATTCCCAGTCAAGATGACCATGTCCTAGAAGTCAGTGTGACATGACAACCTGCGGATCGGCCGACACCGCAGACTGGCTGTGAGTGCACTTGAGGGATCGTGCCTGGACTGTTCTCTGGTGTAACATGCTAGTGCTAACCAGACTTTGGCTGTTCTGCTTGGCCAGGGAGGTGTCGGGGAATGGCATCAGTCAGCTGTTCAGTGGAGAAAGAGCGTCCTTTGTGTTGTCTTTGGAACAGGATTTCTTGTTGTCTTCCCTCCCCTTCCCTGTGCTGGTGTCCAGTGTTTGCCCAGAGCCCCAGCTTCCTTCACCTACCCACTCGCTGCTCCTAACACACCTACCCTGGGTCTCCCCCACAGCCTCCCTCTGCTGGTTCTGTGTGCAGGCCCATCTGACTTTCAGATGGAAGTTCAGCAAGCCTTGCAGTCTTCCTGTGACATCTGTGTGCCCTCTGGCCACACAGCTGCCTGGCCTCCTGACCGGGAGGACTGTGAGTCTTCTAAGGGGTGAAATGTAACCCTTCCTTCCAGACCACTACTATGTGCTTTTCTACAGTAACACCTCCTAGGGCAGGTAGGTGGGGTGCAGGGTGGGCTTGGGAGAGAGCAAACCCCTTGTGTGCCTTGGGATGCCAGAGCCAGGCTGACTGGGAGGTCCACGGCTGAGCCTGCTAAAGGTACTTGAGGAAGTCTAGAACAGGGCATAAGGAACAACGCAGCATTGGAAGCTCTTAGGAAAGAATGTTTCTGGACCCATTTCCCCTAATGTTGATTGAATATCATATGCACTTGGAATTAAATATGTATTTAATTGTCATTACATATGTGAGGGTTAATATTGTTTACTTTTCTCTCACTTTTAAAGTCTGTACATGTAATTGTAACTGTATAATCAGCATCTTTCTTTTGCACCTTAAGTCTTAGAAGCTTAGATGCTCCATCTAAAGTACAGATTAGAGGGGTCTTCTTGGTGTGTTCCAGGCTGTGTGTAGGACTCAGGGCCTGGGGTAACCTCTGCTGGTCCACTCAGTTGCAGTCAGACCATACCAACAAGTTAATTTACTTCAGTTGTAAATTTAATTGTATATATGGTTGATTTATTATTTTTAAAAGTACAGACTAACTAATGTAATGTTTATGTATAAGTTGCACCAAAAATCAAGGACAAAATAAATGTTTGTTTTTATTGGTGTGAAAGTTACAGCTTGTAAATAAGTGTTGTATGTATTAAACCTTTTCCAGCTCTCCAAAGCGATGTATTTTTGTACATATGAAATAGTTCTCTGAATTCACTGGTACAGTGTGCTTAGAATTGAACTTGTCAACATCAGTGGGAGCAGAGGGTGGGGCCTTGGTTAACTTGAGAGATCAGGAGCCTCTTCAGCAAGGCTAACCACAGCAGGTGCCACGCTCAGGAGGCTGAGGGGTCAGGGAGCGCGGAGCCCAGAGTGAAGCCAAGCAACTGAGCAGTCATTTTCAGACTTCTGTACGTTGGCGTTTAACTCATTCAGTTAAATAAAGGTGATGTGATTTTCCCCCCTTTTTCATTTTTTAGAAATTGGAGAAATGTGTAAAAAAGATATTCATATAAACTTGGTCAAACTAGGTAGGCAAATTAGAACTCCAGGCGCTAAATTCCAGGATCTCCAACGAGTTTTTTTTAATATATATATATATAAATGATGCTTGGCTTCCCATCCTGCCAGACCCTGAGCAAAGGTTTCTGTTAGCCTAGAGCCAAAAAAACAGGCCTTTTTGATATGCAGTTCCCCTGTTTACCCTTTGGGAGAGGGGCAGAATTCAGTGTCTAGTTTATTCTATTTCAGTTTTCTGGCGTCTGCTTTCTCAGGTTGAATTTTCTAATTCCATATATCTACAGGAGGAAAACAAAGGGGAGGTTCAAAATGTTTATGGTGTCTCTTCTGATCTGGAAAATGAGTGAAACCAGTTTTCCCCAATCACTTAGAAGGTCTTTAGCCAACTAAGATGAATGTTGGTGTTTTTTTTTTTTTTTGACAAAAGAATGTCACTCAAAGAAAACAATAAAAACAACAAAAACATCTTTTGTCTCTTTAATTCACCATACGAGTAACCAAGAGGCTGTCACTGGATTTTTGTTGCAAGGTTTTGCGTTGAGGAGGCTGGTTTTGTTGAACAGTTGTGAATTCTATGGGATGTGTGTATCAAAAACAAAGAATACGTGGCCATTGTACAGAGAACCTGTGGATCATGGAAGTGGAAAAGAAAATGGTTATAATTTTTGTGAATTTCATGGGTTCCCCTGTGACTGGAAGAATTATAACTCCTGGTTCTCCTGTGGGAACTACTGAACCGCCTCAGCCCCTGGGGCGTCGCCGCGTCCGCGGTCCTGCGGCCGGGAACCCATAGACACGCAGAGCTTTACGCGCTGTTCGTGTAGACGGTAAACTGCATTCTAACACGGAGTAAACGCAGGCTTGTTTGATTTGAGGTAAAGGCTACGCTGCTTTTTCTGCGGCTGCGCTGCTCGGCTTCACCGTCGACCGCGGAGTCCGTCCGTCCGTCGCCGCTCCCGGGACTCGCTCCGCAGGGCGGGGTCCGCCCGAGCTTCCCAGGGAGAGTCACCGTCACACCCTTCGGCGACACTGTTGGGCTGCAGCCACTGTATCAAACCGTGTAAACGTAATAAAACGCTGAAACCCGCACTGTGACAAACGGTGCTTCTCTGAACCCGCTTCCGGGCCCGGTGCCTCGCGCTCTCGCCCTCCCGGGCTGCCCACCAGGGGGCTGCCACTTACACCCGCGCCTCGGGACGCCCCGTAAGCGCGCGGCGGAACCCTCCCACGGCCCCCGGAAGTGCGCGCGGCGGAAGTCGGCCTTGGCTCCGCCCCGGAAGTGCACGGTGTGCGCCCACCTTCGCAGGCGGGAGCTCGGCGCTCGGACTGGGACGCGGCACGTGTGGTGGCCGGGATGAAGTTCGCGTACCGGGTGAGCAGGACGGTGGGCGCGGGAACCCCTGGTCGGCCTGAGGGAGGGGGCGGCCGCGAGGCGGAGGAAGGCGGGGTCGCACTGTGCTCGTCTCTGTCCCTGCGAGCGCTCCCTGTGTCGCCAGTCGCAGCCGGAGCAGGACCCAGCAGTGCAAACCAGGCGTGGCGGTGTGTCCCCGAGGCGTCGGGCCCCCACCCTGCCCGTCCCCACAGGGTCCGAGGGCCCTGCAACCGCGACAGATGGCCCTCCTGCCCACAGAGGCCGCCCCTCGGCGGCCCCTTGAAGCAGCCCCCCACCACCTTGCTGGGGGTCGCTGTGTGTGCGCTGAGCCCCTCTAGACGGCGCGCGAGGTCCAGGTCTGCGGGGTTGACAGCCTCTCCTGTACGGCCCGTGCCGTCATGTGACACTGTTGGGGGTGTCTTGCACCCTGGATGCTCCTCGCCCTGGTCCAACGTTGCAGCTTTAATCTCATGAAATGTGAATTCTGTAGCCTCCCCCTGGCAGAGGCCGCCGCCGCTCTTGGGAGCTTACCCTTTTGGGGGAGCCCTGAGGTCCTGAGGATTGGTTTTTCCGCTCCTGCCCAGGAAATGCCCCCGACATGAGCAGGAACCCTGCAGCCTGGCCCTCGGTTTCATCTCTTGTCAAGTACCCTCACTTTGCCCTTCAGGGAATTGAGACTATTTTTTGTTGTTGTTGTTAAGAAGGCTTTATTTTCCTTTCAGTTCTCAAATTTGCTGGGTACAGTTTATCGGCGTGGAAACTTAAATTTCACATGCGATGGAAATTCAGTTATCAGTCCTGTGGGGAATAGAGTCACAATATTTGACCTTAAGAAGTAAGTATGCTGAAGTGACATTAATAACAGTGGTAACCTGTGTGTGAAGGCAGCTGGCATCTTTCTCGCCTGCCTTTTGGGGCACACCCGTTAGTTAAGCGGCCTGAGACAGATCAAGGATTTAGTAGGGTCAGTAGTGGAACTGCCTGCCCAGTTCCTTGTTCTTTATTCTGGTGTCTTAGCTCAGCCCCTAATGTCTGCAAGGCTGACATTATCTTTGTGTCACTCAGGTCAGTAACATGGGAAAGGGCCCTGCCTCTCCTATGAGGTACAGGCAGGTGGTATATGGCTCAAGGTTAGTACCTCCCCATTGGTGGAGGTGCCTCAGTTCTCTAAGGCCAGATGTTGGTTGGGGGAGCAAAAGCCATCTCAACCCCTGCTCAGAGGCCTCCCGAGTGGCCTTGCCTCCTAGTTGGATGGGCAGTCCCATGGTATCCAGTTCCAGTTTGGCAGCTGGAGACCATTTCTGGTTGCTCAGGTTTAAATGTTTCTTCTGAATACGTGCATAGTTCCTCTCTGTCTGATTACAGGCAGCACTCAGTTCCTTCCCAGAAGTGTTGGGAAGTCCTTGGGCCAACCCTCCACAATGTTCTGAGTGGCATCTTTTCCTTTCTGAGGCTGTTCCAAGTGGGTGACCCTGGGCCATGGTTTCTCCATCTGTAAGATGAGATGGCAGTGGTACCTGCTTTGCCTGCAGGCAGTAACTGGTGAAGGACGTTGCTGACCCCTGGGTCAGGTCGGCTGCTGTATTGTTAGGACTGTTTTGTTTAAATAACATCTAGTGGGGGGCTCTCCAGAGTTAGGAGAACATGCTCACTAAGAATAAAACAACAGAACTAGAACCCAGCTCTGACACTTAGAGGCATACTCTGTCATCATTGCTAATTTTTTTGTTTGTTTCTTTGCATTTTCTTGTTTCTATAAAAACATGAGCAGTGTGCCAACATGATGGGCACTCAGCTTGTTTCCAGTTTCCTGACTTTGAACTGGTACAGAATCTAATTGGATAACAGTCTAGAGGCAAAGTTGATTGTAACCAAAACCTGTTTTTAAGGGTTTTAGTGTGTCTTGCCAAGCTTCTTCCAGGGACAGTGCCATTCCTTCTTCCTCCGTGGGGAGTGTGAGAGATGAACTCTGCAGAATCAGTGGCATGGAGACGAGGCCATGTGGGGAGGGTTGGCTTCTGGTCTGAAGCCAGCCCTGTCTCCATTGTCTGATGACACAGACCCACTACACAACGTGGTTTTTGTCTCTTTCAGCAACAAGTCTGACACACTACCCCTGGCCACTAGGTACAACATCAAGTGTGTGGGGCTATCCCCAGATGGCCGCCTCGCCATCATTGTTGATGAAGGTAAGAGGATGGGAGGAAGGACTAGGGTGTGAAGGTGGCATAAAGCAAACACCAGGTCCATTGAGAGTGGGCCAGGGGCTAAGACATCCACTGTATACTCCAGTGGGTCTCTAGGACAAACGTGTACCAAGGATGGGTTCTGCATCCTCTCTGGCCTCCCCTGGGGCCAGAATTCTAGTCACACAGGGGCCATGGTTAGCACAGGACCTTGCTATCGTTTGACCTTGCAGATGAGGCTTGTATGGTGTCTGGGGGTCCCCAAGTAGCTATAGGCTTGTACTTGGCCTCTTGCAGGGGGTGCTGCACTCCTGGTCAGCTTGGTCTGCAGGTCGGTGCTGCACCACTACCACTTCAAGGGCTCTGTGCACAGCGTCTCCTTCTCTCCAGATGGCAGGTAAGGGTGGCTGGATCGCCAGCCCACCTGCCCACTTCCTCCCACTCAGGCTCAAGGCGGTCACCTGGGCACATAGCCCAGAACCTAGCTCTGACACTTAGAGGCATACTCTGTCATTATTGCTAGTTTTTTTTTTTGTTTGTTTCTTTGCATTTTCTTATTTCTATAAAAAATGAGCAGCGTGCGGCAGCAGTGGGCATAGGAACCCGTGATCTGTCTGAGGGAGGGGGCAGCCGCGAGGCAGAGGAAGGTGGGCTCTAGGTCCTCTAGCATTGCTGGTGTCCTGCAAGCAGAAGGCTTGTGTTGCAGGATGCCACTTGGTTCTGTTTCTTCGTGTTCCCTCCCACGGCCAAGCTGTGTCTTGAGGCTCTGCGGCATCATGGCTGTCATTGGTTCTGAGTGTTGTCTGTGCCCCTATCTCCTATAGAAAGTTTGTCATCACAAAGGGCAACCTCGCTCAGATGTACCATGCCCCTGGGAAGAAGCGAGAATTCAACGCATTCGTCCTAGACAAGACCTACTTTGGGCCATACGATGAGACCACATGCATCGACTGGACTGATGACTCCAGGTGGGGCTGAGGTGCCTTTGACCGATCTCTCTAGCAAACAGCTTCCTTCTCAGCCCCCAGGGTTGCATTTTGAAATGTCTTCACCTGAACCTTGTGTGGTGTGGGTGTGGCCCACAGTATTAGGCCTGGGTGGCTAGCTCCTTGTCAGGTCTGCGGTGATGTGGCATTTTATTACTAGAAATCAGACTACAGAATCTGGATCTTGGGGAGAAATGAGAATTAAGTTTCAGTCTGAGTCACCGCACACCCTAGGCAGCTGTGCTGCCAGGAGTTGGTGAGTGTCATGATGTGCAGGCTGACTGCCTGAGGCCCTGCCACAACAAGTCTGTGTCCACGGCTGTTCCTGCTCCAGAGGTGACCAGGGAGTTCCTGGCCTCCTAAAGATAGTGTGCATTCGATTGGGTCGGCAGCTAGTAGAGGTGGCATGGCTTTTGTTCACAGGACCACCTTGTTCTGCACCCAGGACAGGCTTGCAGTGTGGGAGAATGCACCAAGCATGCTTGAGTGTCCTGTGGTGCCGGGTTTCTGTTCTCGAGTCTAAAAGACTCGGTCGGGGGTCACTCCAGTTAAACTGGGCTAACTGGGCTGCACAAAATAACCACACAAGAGAATACCTTTTTCTTTGGGTTTACTGTGACGGCTCCTCTGACCTTAAGGGTCCGCAAAAAGAGAGAGAGATCGAGAGCGCGCGCTGATCCCTTTTATTGAGAAGCTATTCAAATGAGGCAAGGGATCAGGTTTCAGGGAGCTGAGTATCTTCATGGTGTCCAGTGTCAGCAGGTTGACTGACACCTGGGTAGGCCACCCCCAAGGGCACAGTAAGAGAAGGGGACACACACAAGGCACTTCCATGGAAGATTCTATCCTAAACGGAGCAAGGGATTATATTACAAAGGAACAGGTGAGCATAGCTTCACCCATGGGGCTGTAGCAAGACACACCCATGCACGAGACACTGACCCTCACACCCAAGAAGGGTGGGGAAAGCTCTTCCACATTTCTGTGACTGAGTGCCTCAGCACCCAGCCAGGGAGTGTGACTCAGTCACGTGTAAGGATGGTTTCCCACACTGTGGGTCAGGCTTGGGCAGATGTACCTTGTGGCTGCCCTCCTTCCACCAAGGGCCACTAAGTCCTATGCGTACGGCTATTTGTGCCATATATAGAGTGCACTGGAATTGAGTCTTGGCTGCACTGGAGGGTGTAAGGAGGTGGCCTCCCAGGAAAGGCACATGATGGGTGCAACAGCTCCAGAGAGGAGACAGGGCTGCTTTGGGATGCCTTTCCTGTGCCCACAGGCACCCGAGCCACCTCTCCGTCCCTCACAGGGGATCAGGTGGTGTCTGCACAGCTCATGATGGAGGGCAGATGAGTCTCCATTGCCATGGACTGCTGTGGTGGTAGTGGCACTTGGTCACAAACGCTGAGGAGCTGTGTGGTCTTGTTCCAGGTGCTTTGTGGTTGGAAGCAAAGACATGTCCACCTGGGTGTTTGGAGCTGAACGCTGGGACAACCTCATCTACTACGCACTGGGGGGACATAAGGATGCCATCGTGGCCTGTTTCTTCGAGTCCAACAGCCTGGATGTATGCCCTGGGCCCCAGATCCCTAGGCCAGCAGTGATGGGGGAATGCCCTGGGGCAGGCTGCAGGTCCTTCCTCCCTGAGCTGCTGCTTGGCTGTCCTAATTGTCGGGAAGACCTTTAGGGTTGCAGTTCTGAGGGGCCTTGAGTGGAACTGTGCCAAGAAGCTAAGCGGGAGAGGGGGTTCTTGGTGTAGAGGCTTGTGGCTGGCCTGGCTCAGGTTGGTTGGCTCAGGCCCAGCCATGTGCTTCCCTTGCAGCTGTACTCACTCAGCCAGGATGGAGCCCTGTGTGTGTGGCAGTGTGACACACCCCCAGAGGGCCTGAGGCTGAAAGCCCCCACAGGCTGGAAGGCAGATCTGCTGCAGCGAGAAGAGGCGCAGGAGGAGGAGGAGGAGGAGGAAGGACAGAGAGAGATCACCATTCGAGGGAAGGCCACACCTGCTGAGGAGGAGAAGAAGGGAAAAGTGAAGTACTCACGCCTGGCCAAGTAGGTCTTGAGGGCGGTGGTGGCGTCTCCCACCCTCAGATGTAAACATGGGCTTCACGTGGAGGTCCAGAGGACAGACCTTTGTCTGGATCTGGGTTTGAGACCCCATGAGTGCTGTGGTGTTGAGACCATGCCCAGGAGCCAGAGCCCCGGCCTGCCTTAGTGATCTGGGGCAGAGAGGGGCGTGTGCCTGAGAGTGCTGTGGCTTTGCCAGCCCCTGCACTGCTCAGTGCAGGTGAGCCTTCCTCTGCCTGGGGGACAAGGGGTCCGTGGTGCGCTCAGCATGAGCTGGGCTGAGGTGATGAGGTATGAGACGAAGGCGAGGAGGACGCACTGGTGGACGTTGGCTGGGTGTGAAAGGTGGGTTCTCTGGCTCCTGTCCCCTAGAGCTCTGGGCTACCCCTCTTCCAGGCATACCACACTCTCCTGCTTCATGATTAGCACCCACCCAGTCAGCCATTCAGACTGTGGTGGGTTGGTTAGGTCACTACTCTTACAGTTGTGAACATCCCTGCATCGGCTGGGCTGGGCAGCTCCACGCACTTCATTTTCTCTAGCAGCACACACCCAGGTGGGTGACCAGGACCTCACAGACTAGGGTTGTGGCCTCTCCAAACTAGGTCTGTTGGGTGGCTGGGAAACTGTCCTAGAGTCAGGGTACAGGGCCTAGGTAGGTTGTGGGCACTTGAGGACCATGCATCACCTGTAACCTGCCCTGTTGTGATTTTACTAGCCTAGATGCCTCCATCCAGCAGTGGGCCTGGACCTATTATCTGTCTAGTGAGGCTCCCTCCCAGTTGAGAGGCAGGCAGAATGAGAGATGCACAGTGGTAGTGTGGCTGTGTGGGATGGCAGGTGGACTCATGCTAGGCCATGGGGTGGGGGTGTCCATGTTCAGTTCTGTTCTGGGAGGTTCCCTGGCTTGAAGGGGAGTGGACCTTGGGGAGGGACAAGGGCAGGACCTTGGGGCTGAGGCAGCTGGACTAGACTAGCCTTGGAGGTGCCGGGCTAAGAAGGAATTTAGGATGTGAGAGGAGGGAGCGTGCTGGGCCGTGGGCAGGCGGAGGTGGAGATGGGGGAGCGGGTCTGGCTGGACTTTGGGTGCCCGTGGGAGTCTCAGAACAGTGCAGCTGGAATGAGGAGTTGGGTGAGGACTGAAGGAGACCCCAGGAAGGAGGAGCTGCAAGGCACTGTCCAGTGAGGGTCACTCACTGGAGGGACTGCAGTCACCAGTGTAGAGTGCGGGGGATGGCCCTTTTGGCATCAGTCACCTTAAGAGGGAAAGGTGAGGACAGCTGTGCTGTGCGTATGTGGAGCCAGGAACGGGTTAGATCACAGAGAGCCAGAGGTGTCATCAGGGTCACCTTGGTTATATGGGCAGGAAGTGATGGGCACCTACTCCCTGCCTCCCTGTAGGTGATGTTCCCTGAGAACACCCTACCCTCTTTGGCAAGGGGCAGGAGGGGAGACCATCTAAGAGGCATTGTTTACTTTTGTGTTGTTGTGACCAAAATACCTGTCAAGGGTCACCTCCAGGAGGAGAAGTGTGTTTTTGGTTCATGATCTCAGAGGTCTCAGTCCATAGATGGCTAACTCCATTGTTCTGGGTCCATGGTGAGGCAGCAGCATCACAGTGGAAGGGCCAGCAGGAAGCAGAGTGGGGCCAAGGCTGCAGGGAAGAACAGGCACCCTTCCAGGGGCCCCTCCTCCAGACATACCACCCTCTCCTGCTACACGATTAGCACCCAGTCAGCCATTCAGACTGGGGTGGGCTGGTTAGGTCACTGCTCTCACAGTCCAGTAGTGAATATCCCTGCCTTGGCTGGAGCTTTTGGGGGACAGTTCATATCCACACAATCAGAGGTGTCTTGGTCCTGAGCTCAGAACATAGCTGAGTGAGCCGGTGCCCGGGTACAGCCGGGGTGTGGCCATCTGAAGTGAGCAGGGTGATCTGCCAGCTAGGTCCATGGTCCTCCTTCTACAGTACTCCACCTGTCAATCCAGGTACTTCTTCAATAAAGAAGGAGACTTCAACAGCGTGACAGCTGCAGCATATCACAAGAAGATTCGCCTCTTGGTCACAGGTTTTGCTTCTGGAATCTTCCATCTGCATGAGCTCCCAGAATTCAACCTCATCCACTCGCTGAGGTGAATCCTCTGCTCACTGGGCTTTCGTGCACCTGCCCCGGGGCTTAGTGATTGCTGGGGGGCCATCAGGGAGCCTGCTACAGTCCCCGGGGTGGCTCCCACCAGCCTGTAGCCTGTATTGTGGCCCTGGATGTTGGTCTCAGAGGTGGGGTTTTTATTCTTTATCCTTGGTTTTTCTCTTCTGTTCTTCATCTTTGAAACAGAAAAAATTAAAATACTAGTTCCACAAGTGAGTGCGGTTGAGGATGCTGCAGGGAGAGGGGCGGCCCTGGGTCGACGGGCACTCCTCTGCTCATCTCTTCTTGCCCTTTTCTGCTCAGCATCTCAGATCAGAGGATCACTTCAGTTGCCATCAACAGCTCTGGGGACTGGATTGCCTTTGGCTGCTCAGGTTTGTTTCCATGCCGAGCTGTAGAGATCGAATGTCCTAGAAAAGTCTGCCAGAGGACCACTGAGGCCCCTCAGTGTCGTGGGCTTCAGGCCACGAGGCACAGGCCATAGCTGTGAGCAGAACAGCTCCTCAGGGGCTTACGTGGCCAGGAGAGTGATTTCCAGAGTGATTGCTCCTCTCCAGTCCGGGGCCTGGGGTTTCTTGTCTGACTTGTGGTCCTGCCCACAGCTCCTTGAATGGCCTCAGTCTCTCGGTCTGCAGTCATGGCTAGTGGCCTGCACACCAGCCACCTGCCAGGCAGGGGCTGCTCTCTGCCCTGGTCCTCGGGTCTGTGCTGTGTGCAGTGCCTATGAACAGGGCAGTCCAGCCCCAGCTGACTGGAGTCAGGATCAGTCAGGGACTTGTGGTCCTGTACCCACAGGCCTTGGTCAGCTGCTGGTGTGGGAATGGCAGAGCGAGTCCTATGTGCTGAAGCAGCAAGGCCACTTCAACAGCATGGTATCTCTGGCCTACTCCCCGGACGGGCAGTATATCGTCACTGGTGGGGACGACGGCAAGGTGGGCATTGGCCAGCACTGGAAGCAGGCAGCTGGGTGGGCCTTCATCCATGCAGAGCTGTGGGTGGCTCCTGCTGGCTTCTGAAGACTGGGGACATGCACAGGAATTTGAATGGCGAGGGCTGGGGTATCCCTGTGTCCCCATTTCTGCCCCAGGTGGATCTGAGGTGGCCAGGTGCTTGCTTCTCTGCCTCAGGCTTCGCTCACCTGGAGGCAGGTGGCTGGCTGTGCTCACACTGTCCCTCGGTCCCGCTACAGGTCAAGGTGTGGAACACCCTCAGTGGCTTTTGCTTCATCACTTTCACGGAACACTCCAGTGGGGTCACTGGTGTGGCATTTACTGCCACCGGCTTTGTCATCGTGACCTCTTCCCTGGACGGCACCGTGCGCGCCTTCGACCTCCACAGGTGATGGCCTCTGCCGAGGGTGTGGCTGCCCATGTACAGGCGAAGGTGTCTGACACGGGCCTGTAATGCCAGCCGTGGGCTCCTTTCCCCACAGGTACCGGAACTTCCGCACCTTCACATCTCCGCGCCCCACCCAGTTCTCCTGTGTGGCCGTCGACTCAAGTGGGGAGATCATCTCTGCCGGGGCCCAGGACTCCTTTGAGATCTTTGTGTGGTCCATGCAGACGGGCAGGCTCCTTGACGTAAGTGCCTATGTGTGCAGTGCCTATGATCAGGGCAGTCCAGCCCCAGCTGACCTGGGGTCAGGATCAGTCAGGGACCATGCCCTGATGGGGAAGGAGCTGGCCTCCCTCTCAGGTGTGGTGTGGAGCTCTTGGAGCACTGTGTCGGCCCTTCTCACGCCTCTGTGCCTCTGTAGGTTTTGTCTGGCCATGAGGGGCCCATCAGTGGTCTGTGTTTTAATCCAATGAAGTCCATCCTGGCCAGTGCCTCCTGGGACAAGACGGTGCGCCTGTGGGACATGTTCGACAGCTGGAGAACCAAGGAGACGCTGACCCTCACATCGGATGGTGAGCTGCAGCTGGGGTTGGCAGACAGTGACCAGGGGCCAAAGTGTGTCTTGCTCTGGTCTAACTCATCTCATCCCTCTGCCTGCCTGGCTCTTGGTTGTGTGTGTGACATGAGCCTAGCAGGTGAGAAGAATAGCCCAGACCCCGCAGTGCAGGGCAGCCTGAGCTGACGGTGCTTAGCCAATACTGGGCGGCAGTGCTTCTAGCATCACGCCCCTGGGGCTGGGGGGTTCAGCTGGGCTCCCAGTCTGCTGCGCACAGGGCTCCCGGGAGCAGCTGCTCCCCCTGCTTTCTAGAGTTGTCGCTGTGCTTGACCAGTCAGTGGCTGGTGCACTGCTGATGCGCCTGGGATTGAGCCCGCTGTGGGGGTGCCTGACCACCCCTCATTTTTCCTGAATCAGGCCTTAGGCCCTGCTTCACCCCCCACCCCTAGTCCAGGCTCAGCAACTGCAGCCCTCGCTACATGTCCTCTCTGCACTTGGCCTGTCCATTTACCCCTGAGTGGTCTTTCTGTGACTCAGCTGCCAGCCTCACCTCTGACCAGTCCAACCTGATCCGGGGTCCTGGGGGTCTCCCTGTCCCCTCCAGCTTGTTCCCAGCCAGGGTGTGCAGTTCCCTTGCCTGCTGGCGTTGGCACCTCCCTTGGGGGGAGCTTCCTGTGCACTAGAGGGGCTGTGGGTCTCCTGGGGTGTGGAGCATGGCCTGTCTGCCAAGCTGGGGGTCTTTCTCAGAGCCTGAGGCTTGTTTCTCTTTAGCTCTAGCTGTGACTTTTCGGCCTGATGGTGCAGAGCTAGCTGTGGCCACGCTAAACTCACAGATCACCTTCTGGGACCCTGAGAACGCGATACAGACGGGTTCCATCGAAGGCAGACATGACCTCAAGACAGGCAGGAAGGAGCTGGACAAGATTACGGCCAAGCACTCGGCCAAGGGCAAGTGAGTGCCAGCAGGGTACAGGCCAGAGCTGCTTCACATGCTCCTGTTGGCTTGCAGCTTGTAGGGACTGGTGGTTTCTGAGGCCTTCCCCCAACCAGGACCCTGGGACCAAGTTCCTACAGCTACTTTTTTGTGGGTGGGGGGGTACCAAGGATTGAACTCAGAGACACCCAGCCGTATATTGTATTTTATTTAGAGTCGAGCTCTCACAGAGTTGCTTAGCATGTCACTGTTGCTGAGGCTGGCTTTGAACTCGTGATCCTCCTGACTCAGCCTCCCAAGCCGCTGGGATTACAGGCCTGCACCACCACATCCAGCCCTACAGCCACTTTCTTTCTGGTGTAATTCTTAGTTCTTGAGAGTGCCACTGCAGGAGAAAGGGGTTGGGGAGGCCGTCTTGATTTGCTGAATGTGAATGTACATAACCCGAAGTCTGAACCAACTCCAAACTTCCCTCTCTCCAATGATGTCATCAGCCTGGTGTTTAAAACAAAAAGGCCCAAAGCTGCCCTGCACAGAGCAGACCCAGCCTGCCTCTATACACCAGCTGCCTTCCAGGTGCTTGGCAGGCATCTGCCGGGCCTGGTTCTGTGTTGGTGGGGAACCACCAGGCTGTTTCTGCAGTGGCTGTCCCGTTTTGCATTCCCACCAGTTACGCACCAGGTCCCTTTTCCCTGTGTTGTCACCAACGTCCTTTCCTTAGATAGAGCCAGTCTGCTCGGGTGCATCGGTGTCCAGAGCCGGTATTCCTCTGCCCAGCAGAGGTGGTGCGCTTGCTGGCTCTGCCCTCCGTGGAGGAGGGGTAGGACCTTGGTGCGTACTCACGGGTGTCTACTGAGCTGTGGTGGTTCTTCCTGTTTGGCATGAAGCCTTTGCGGGTGGGGATTTGCAGATACCTTCTCTTCTGAGTTGTTTCACTTTCTGTGGTGGTGTCATAAATTTGGGTGGCATCCAGTTTTTTTCTTTGTTTTTTTTTTTTCTTTTTTCTGCTGTCCCTTGTTCTTTTAGTGTCATATCTCAAAAACCGTTGCTGTCCCAAGGCCATTGTTCCCTGTTTTTGGCACCCAGGGCAGTCAGGGCATAGCTGCTGCTTTTTGCAGACCTACCAAGGGGCTGTGGGAGAGCTGGAGGTGGGCGGGTGAGTATATGTGCCAATATGGACCTGGTTTTAGCCACGTGGTCCTGTTGTGCCTCCTGGCACATGTATTTGGTTCTCTCCTGGCAGAGTGGGTGCACACACTGTTGGAGGCCGTGGCTGTGCGCATCTTACATAAGGTCAGGCAGGGAGCCTCAGAGGCGTTGGAGAGGAGAGCGGGCTCCCCTCTGGGGACGCGGTGTGGGGCTCTGACTTCTTCAGAGCTGCACGTCAAGAGGCCTGCTATGAGTCCGAGTGCCTTTATTCTCTGCCCAGGGCCTTCACCACTCTGTGCTACTCTGCAGACGGCCAGAGTATCCTGGCGGGGGGCATGTCCAGGTTTGTGTGCCTTTACCACGTCCGGGAGCAGATCCTGGTGAAGCGGTTTGAGCTCTCCTGCAACCTCTCTCTGGACGCCATGGAGGTGAGTAGTTGTGTGGGCCCTGACATAGGTGCTTCTGACAACCTGGGCCCCAGCCAAGCTGTGAGGTCAGCACCAACATAGAGCTGTGACTGGCTGAGCGGTTCCTGAGTCACATGCCTGCAGTACCTGCCAGGGCCTGTCACTTTCCCCACTTTTACAGTTTGACCCCACCTGAGCGGGTAGCCAGGGCTGGAGTGCCCAATGCACTGGCTTGGGCCATACACTAAGCCCTATAAGGGAAGGAGTGGAGGTGGAAGGTGCTGGTGGGCTGCCTGCACCTGGGCCATCCATCTGGTTGCAGTGTGGGAGGGCTCTTCCTCCACTGCCCACAGGTGCCTGCCCTCTGCACACCTCAGACTGTGGTCCAAGTCGCTCCTCGTGCCCTGGTCTCTCAGGAGTGCAGGGTGTGGACTGAGGAGAACCGAGGCTCTGGGCAGAGTTGAGGGTCTTCTGTGGTACCAGAAGCCACCCTCCTGCTCCTGAGAAAGTATCCACATTTCCCTCGGGGAGCAGCTGCCCTCATGTACAAGCAGATGTCCACTGTGGGCAAGGGCCTGTCCCTGTAATGGTGGCAGTGGTGTCCAGTGTGCAAGGGTGAGTGGGACTCCTACACTTGGCTCCAGTGGCCTCCACCTGCACTTTGTGCAGCCAGCCCTGAAGGAAGACTGGGGACCAGGAACAGCGCCCCTTGGCCTTGTCCTGTGTTCTCAGGGCCCTCTTGTGGTCTGGTCTCCATTCCACTCATGGCTAGAGGCTTGTCCGCTGTGGGCGGCTTGTCTGCTTGGCACACAAGCAAGAGGGGGAGATGAGGAGAAGGTGTTCATGGCTCTTGCTGTTCTAGGAATTTCTGAATCGAAGAAAGATGACGGAGTTTGGCAACCTGGCGCTCATTGACCAAGATGCTGGGGAAGAGGACGGGGTTGCTATTCCGTTGCCAGGTGTGAAGAAAGGTGAGCAGAGGTCCCCTTCTGTGTCTTGCCTGTCACCTGGTCGTCTTTGTGGCAGTGTTTCTGCTCTCTTGGTTGGGGCTGCAGTTTACGGAGTCAGCAGTTACTGCATCTTGGTGTCTTGCTGGATGGGTGGGGGGGGGTGCTTGGGGAAGACCCAGCAGGTGGGGTGCTGGTGCCATCATCCCTGCCGGGCACAAAAGACTGGCCTGTGAGTTACTGCACGCAGCTATGCCACTCTGCCCTGTGGGGGTACAGGGTGGATCAGGGGTTCCTGTGCATCTTCTGATTACTGGGGAGCAATCTGAATGTACTTGCTCCCCAGTAACTGCAGTTGTTCTTTTCTTCCCAGGTGACATGAGTTCTCGCCACTTTAAACCTGAAATCAGAGTGACTTCACTGCGCTTCTCTCCCACTGGTGAGCCCTGAGTGAAGGGTTGTTGGTCCCAATGTGTCATGACCTGTGTTCCCAGGGACAAGGTCAGTCAGTGCTGCCCTCAGGCTCTGCACTGCACTCTGTCCCTTACAAGTGGGAATGTGGTGATGAACCCTGCTGCCATATGGTCTCCTTGTCCCTGAGAAGGGACTGCTATTGAGAGCTCCTGCCCCAGGCACATTAAGCTTTGATATGTGGTGGCTCAGGGCCATCCTGGGAGGTGGCCTCCTCAAGCCTATTAAGCGCACTCAGGCGTGCAGGAGGGTCCATCTGGGCCTTTCGGGAACAAGTGGTCCCCTTGGGCAGAGCAAGGTGAGGATCATCAGCCAGCGCTTTCCAAAATGGATGAAGCAAAAAAGTCAGGTGCAGAACCACTCATGAGCCTTGCATCCTGTGAACCAGAGGACCCCAGGGCCACTTCTGCCCAGCCACCTAGGGGTTTTTACTTTTTGGTAATGGGATTGAACTCAGGGTGCTTAATCATTGAGCCACATTTCCAGTATGGTTTTATATTTTATTTAGAGACAGGGTCTCACTGAATTGCTAAGTTCCTTGCTAAGTTTCTGAGGCTGGCTTTGAAATCAACGATCCTTCTGCTTCAGTCTCCACAGTCGCTGACATGACCAGCATGCACCACCACCCGGCCAGCACCCTAGTTTTGTTGCTCAGGTTTTCCTGAGACAAATCACTTGTGATCGTGTCCCAGGCACTGTGCAGCTACAGCAGGGACCATTTGGCTTCTCTCATACTGAAAAGTTTACAGGCTCCTGGTGCGAGCAGAGGGAACAGGCACGTGTGTCCTTGCTCACGTGTGCAGGCAGTAGGCCTGGGGTGCCATCCACCAGGGTGACCCAAGCAGTTCCTTCCCCAGGGGCAGGGTGGCAAAAGGAAGATGTCCCGGTGCCCTCCTGCACTTCGGTGTTTGGACCATGAGCATGTACTTACCATCTTGCCTTTCTTTTAAAGATTGAGAAATCTCTTTCACTCTTCATCCCCCAGGGCGCTGCTGGGCAGCCACCAGCACAGAAGGGCTCCTCATCTTCTCCCTGGATGCCCAGATGCTCTTCGACCCATATGAGCTGGACACCAGCATCACCCCTGGGCGGGTGCGGGAGGCCCTACACCAGCAGGAGTTCACTCGGGCCATCCTTATGGCCTTCCGGCTCAACGAGAAGAAGCTGGTACAAGAAGTCCTGGAGGCCGTGCCGCGGGAAGACAGTGAGCAGGAACCGGGTCAGGTGGAAGCTCAGGGGCCCGAGGTGTTGCTCTCTTTGCTACTTTGGTTCGTCACAGAATAAGCGTAGCTTTTCTTTTGCAGTTGAAGTTGTCAGTGCTTCTCTTCCTGAGCTGTATGTAGAAAAGGCACTTGAGTTTTTAGCTTCCTCATTTGAAGTGTCTCGTCACCTTGAATTCTACCTCATATGGACACAGAAATTGCTCATGTCCCATGGACAGAAGCTGAAGCCCAGGTATGCTGGGCTTCCCTGCTGTTGGTGTGACCTTTCACATGGCCAGCTGATCCTGGTGGTGATGGGGAGCTTTGTGTTCAGGAGCAGCATGCACTGGGCCTGGTGTTGCCCCCCAGTAACCACCGCCCTCTGAGGGTGTCTCCTTTCCAGTGCAGGGCGGCTGCTGCCTGCCATCCAGTTCCTTCAGAAGAGCCTCCAGCGGCACCTGGATGATCTGGCAAAGCTGTACGTGCGGGGCTGGCGGTAGGGTGGGGTTGGAGCTCTTGTCGTGGGTTCTGTGCCTGGGACTGCTCCCTGCACCACCTGACCTGGACACAGAGGTTCCAGTGTTGGAGAGTGTGCCACCCATGCTGGGTTTGAAGCACAGCTTTGGTGCAGCTGGTGCTAAAGGAGCTGAGCCAGAGAAGGGGTGTGCCTGAGGTGCAGCTTGAACCTCCAACCTCAGGGCATTTGTCACAGTCCTAGGACGGGGTTGTCTGTTCTGGATTTGCATGTCTCCTGCATGAGCAGTAGGAGCTGGCTGGTGACAGGGTGCCTGGTGTTGATGATGAGAGTGTATCTAAGGGGCTTGGACGGTACCTGGATACTGAAGGTACTCTGCAAGGCCACCCCTTCTGCTTAGACAACCTGACTGCATCTCCCAGCTTGCCCTGACGGGATGTCTGCTTCTCTTTGGTGCCCATCTGGGCTGGTGACAGGTCTGTTCCCTGCCCTGTCTGGGTCCCTGGGCCAACGCTCGAGTCTGGTCCCAGTGGTGTTCTATCCTTGAGCTGTCCCCCATCTTTATAATGGGGCTCAGTCTAGAACAAGCCCTTCCTCCAAATGCCTCTGCTTCCTTGGCATCAAGGCTTCCCTGCAGGAAGGCTGGGGCTTTAGGGTGCCATTCCTCATCTGGTGGCTTGTTGCTGATTTGCTGGTGTGCTCCAACTTGTGGGTCTGGGGGAGGACCCTGCTAGCCAGCCCGTTGCCCCAGTGATCCTTCACTGAGTCGGTTTGCTATCTTCCTGGGAGCTGTTGGTGTCAGGAATGTGTGATGTGACCAATTGACTTTCTAAATGACCGGTGCGAGGGCCTGGCAGGGAGGCCATTTGTTTGGGCAGAACCCAGATCTGGGCAGGGAGGGCAGAGGATCCTGTGGAGCAGGTGGGCCGGGGTGCTGGTGGAGTGGAGCTGATGCCTGTACTGACGTGATGCCCTGTACCCACAGCTGTGACTGGAACCGCTACAACCTGCGGTATGCTCTGGCCATCTCCAAGCAGCAGGGTGTGAAACGCCCCCTGGACCTGCCGGGAGTTGAGGATGACGGGGAAGCATCCGATGAGGACAGTCTGAACCTGCTGGGAGGGGCCGGAGATGAGCCCACTGCCACTGCGGCTCCTGACTGTCTTGGTTGAGACCTTCCAGAGGGATGGAACCTCCTGTCACCTGGGCCCAGGACATGGGAGTGCATCCAAAGTGCTGGAATATTGTCACGGGGTCTCCCTTTTCCGTTGAGAAGCACACAGCCCATCAGGACAGCGAGCCAACCTGCTAGCACCCAGGCAGGCACTTGGGTGCCATGGGCCAGGATCCCTCAGTGAGGACTTTCTAACATTGCCTTCACGAAATGTAAATAGGTTCATGTTTGTGGACTCATATAAACTTAATGGGAGTTATTTATATTTTTAATACAAAGTTCTAAAGACAAACTTGGGATTAGAAACATGAGATTCTGGAAATGTGTTAATATACTGTTAGTGGGTGTGAGAAGCTGAACGGCACGCCCGGGATGAGGCAGGGAAGGCAGGGCAAGTGGCCGCCTGCCTGGGCCTGTGATCTGGTGATCTGTCTGCACCGGTCAGGGCAGGGAGCCCCTCAGAACGCTGGCATTGGAGGGTGTACATGGGGGAGCTCGCTCAGAGCTGCTGTGCCAGCCTGCACGGCCACACAGTGCCACCCCTGACTAGCGGAGGACACAAAACAAAATACAGACACAACTTACCTTTACACAAGCTTCAGGACGGCTTCCCTGGCTCTCAGCCTCAGGTTCCCAAAAAGGGAGAGCAAGAGAAAGTCGCGAGAGAGCAAGCGAGTCAGCTTTTCTTGGGGACACACTGTTCTTAGAAGGTTCCATCCATAAAAGGGCAGAAAGGGGTAGGATTTCAAGGGAACGGGTGAGTGTAACTCAACGCCAGGGGCACTCCTACAAAGAAGACAGTCTTGCTCTCCGAGCTGGGTCAATGCCCAAGCCGCAACAAATGTGGTCAGAGACTGGTGCATCAGGCCTGGAAGGCGTGGTCATTCAAAGCTGCAGCTCCCCACATATTTCCCCTTCTTTCTTTGAAAAAGCAGGTGATGAGTCCCTAGATTCTTGTCCTGAAGGCACGACATCTTGTGATTACAACATAAGAGAGAATTAGTAGCAAGGAGAACAGTACAAGGATGTACCATGCAGAGTGTTTAAGAATGCTTCCAGGGTTAAAGCCACTTAACTCTAGAGGTATTTGATCAGTTAAAGAAGTAGGATCCGAAAAATCAATCTTACTCTTTTGTATATCTTGGTATATAGTAATGTAACTCCAAAAGATCCAAGCTGCTCTTATTATTCTGCCAAATACCTAACAAATGGTTTCTAGCCTTCTCCCAGTCCCACTGGGGAGCACTGTATTTGGCACCACTAATACACACACAGTCAGCGTGATGTTTGAGCCTTTCCTTGAATTTCAAAGCTGAAAGTTCATTATCAATATTTATGACAGTAGCCTCGAAGGCATTTAGCTTAGTCACAATCCTTTTATCAATATTTGATTATGAAGAGTTTTGTTAAGTGTTCTTAGTCAAATTATTAAGAAAATCTGTATGTTGAATATTTTGAGATTGGCCACCGAAGCTGTGACCATGGAAGCAATAAATGAAACTAAGGCAACTACTCCCAATACTCCAAGTCCAAGAGCACATTAGGTCTTGCTAGCTGGGCTTGTGCCTGTTGTAAGACTTGGAAACCAGCCTCAGCGTACCCTGGCTCTGAAGTATCAGCTGGCAATGAGAGCAAACAGGGCTGATGACATATTGTATTTGCGCTCCTTTCCCTCTACTATATCTGGTGATACAGTGAGTAAAATTACAGTTATTACATGCTACAAGATATCTATTCTTTAACTTTCACATTTCTAGTAATTAAAGGAGATTGGACACAGGCCGTAACAGTAACCCTCCTTACAATTTTTGCCTACAAAGTCTGGTAAAGATTTGTCAGTAAAATGTAAAAATTCTGAGGCAGCAATTAAGCACCAGACATCTTTCTGAATGCCACCTTTTCTGCAGGTCAAGATGTTACTAAAATTTTCCAGGGGTCATGGCAGCACCCTTGCATAAATGCTTTTTGTCAAATCTAGGAGGTCAGTCTATTTCTAGACACCTTATACTGTACTGGGAAAGTATTTCTACAATCCATCCACTTAGGAAAGATACCAATTTGTATTGCAGAACAGTTAGGACAGTGAGGTATTCTGCTGAAATGATTGGCTTGTTATGAGAAAATTCCATTTTAATAACTGATCTGATTTAATGCTTTGAGTCTCTGGGGATAGTACGGTTAGCTGGTCTAGGTCCCCCAACTGCTGTCTTTTCCTCAAAGGATACTTTTGGACAGCCAGCATGTTTATCATGGGACCAACACCTAGGAAATTGAGCACTATAGCCAGATAAGTAAATCCAGTCATGTGGGTGACAGTGATATGGGTGTCTGTAAATCCTCCCATCGTGTATGAGTCATTAGTAAATACTGGGATGGATTCTCCAGTCCACACCACTGGGTGTACAAGAGGTGGATCTGGAAAATATGCCCAACAGGTTTCTCCCTGATTCCCCTTTACCTCACAGCTCGGTAGAGCTAGTATTGTGGCGAGCATCATAGTTAGAGAGACCTAGTTTTTCCTTGCTGCGGAGTCATTTGCTCAGCCTGCAGCATCAGACTCTTTAGCTGTTTCCATGAGGGTAGCTTCACTATTGGGTCTCTGGGCCATCTTCTTTCCCCTCTTCTTTTGAATTCCTCTTATTGGGGGGAGATAGGTCTGGATCGATCCTCAGTTGTTTCAATCTTTGAATCTTGGTTCTAGGTCCTCCATGTCTGATGGCACCTTCAGGTACCCAAATAGAAAGAAAAGCACCTTCTGGGAAAATACAAACATGAGCTCTGCCCCACATAGTCACTGGATCTGGTCCTCTCCATTGGCCAGTCTGCAACTCTTCTACCCTTCCTTAAAGGCCTATTGCTGTGGAAGACGTGTTGCTCAGCTGCAGTGCGACCTTCTGAGTCACAGTTTAGAAAGTTAACAGCATGATTGAGGTTATTTGGGGGGTTCTAGTCCCATCTCCCCCTTTCTGTTTTTGTGATTATAGCTTAATAGATAAATGAGCTTATTCGACAATAGCTAATCTGATCGTAAACTAGCAGATCATAATTTAGCTGCCTCTTCAACTTGGCAAAATCTCCAGTTCCAGTTAACATCTCTAGAGGGGCTTCAAAGCCTTGCCTGCAGTTTCTCTCAGCCTGTTCGGTGCAATAATTGGTCCAGTTGGACTGCCACAATAAATAACCCCCCCCCCCAAAAAAAGGCATGCTTTAGCCAGTGTAATCCAGTCATTCAGGGGCAGAGGCTCACTACATAAAGACTCGAGCAGGCTTTGAACAAATGCTGAATTTAGACTGTAAGTACAGCAAGAATTTTTGATTTCTTCAGAGTTTTAAAAGGAACCACAGCGTGCACATGGACACATTGGTTTTGCTTGTTGACCTGCTCAAAAACTGGGAAAAGCTGAAAACCTGCAACGTCCTCCCCGCCTCCAGTGCTGTCCTAAGGCCACACTGGCGTGGCAAAAGTGTGGCTACAGTCAGTTATTGAACCTCCTTCTCCTGGAGGAGAGTGGCCAGATCAGAATGGTGGACGCAGGGCCCTCCCCCAGCTCAGTCTCACTCTCTGATTGGGAGTCTTCAGACTGCGGCTCAGCTTCATCAGTATCTTCTTGTCCGTTTTCCTTCCCTCCATCCTGGATCAGCCTCATGGAAACCCAATCAGGGCTGGCTTCCTCTCTAGCACATGCCCCTACCCATGAGTTCTGCTGGCCGCTGGTGAGTCACTGTCTCTGTCTGGTTCAGCTGTGACTGAACATTTGGTCTCACCCCAAGGCCCTCTGTCTGCTGTTTGTGAGCTGCAGACTGGGCGAGAATTTACTCTGCCCTCAGTTCTGCTACAGATAGAGAAAACCGCCTGGGAGCAGTTGTGGGCTGTTTTCTTGCTCCAGTCTTCTAATTGCTTTTTGCAGCCCTTTCAACAAATCTTCTGAAAACCATTGGTCTTTGTCTCGGTTATCAAAAAGACACATTTCTAGAGCAGTCAAGACTTTTTGAATATTTTCTATCGTGCCCCTGGATAGCTTGGCAGAGAGGCAGCCTTCAGGCAATTTTCTACCTGGCCTTTCCCAAGTGCGCAAATCTGGCGAATCTTCTTCACAAAACCACGGGGCATGTGTCACTGCTTTTAGGAACTGAGCCAGCTGGGCCCTTTTCACCTGTTTCCCTCTCTGGTTAATTAAAGTGTCCAGGATCATCAGATAAATCTTTCTGAAAATGTGCAATTGCCAATAATAATTTTTAAACGTCCTTGGCTCTCAATTTGTCTGCTTTTTTCACAACCCCCAAACACCACAATTCTCTGAATTTCTTTCTTTCTTTCATTTTTTAATATTTATTTTTAGTTTTCGGCAGACACAACATCTTTGTTTGTATGTGGTGCCAAGGATCGAACCCGGGCCGCATGCATGCCAGGAGAGCACGCTACCGCTTGAGCCACATCCCCAGCCCAATTCTCTGAATTTCTAAAGCATGCTCACCCAAGTCTACTTCCAAATTCACCCCCCCCCCAATGTCCCTGTTTGGGCGCCACCTGCCACTCCCCACCAGTATGGGCAGCTGAACTAAGGTCACTTGTGTGAATTTGTAGGGACACAGACACAACTTTATACAAGCTTCAGGACACTTTCCCTGGCTCTTGACCTCAGTCTCCCAAAAAGGGAGAAAAAGAGAAAGTCATGAGAGGCTGGAGAGAGAGAGAGAGAGAGAGAGAGATATTGAAAGCTTAATTCTTGTGGGGGACACTGTTCTTAGAAGGTTCTATCCATAAATGGGCAGAAGGGGCAGGGCTACAAGGGAACAGGTGAGGGTAACTCAACCCCAGGGGTACACCCACAAAGAAGACAGCCTTGCTATCCAAGCTGAGTCAACACCCAAGCCACAAAGAGTGCAGTGATTGGTCAGCCTGATGCATCAGTATTGGAAGGCATGGTCATTCAGAGTGGCTCCCCACAACACAGAAGGGGACACCATTCCCCAATGCAGTGCTTCACCCTTGTAGCATATGTATGCTGTCTACCAGGACCAAACAGCCTCTTTGCCAGCAATGAGATCCAGGTCAGTGGATGGTGCACCCAAGCCACCTCTTCTAGTTGCTGGAGCTGATAACATGCCCACCTGCCTCCAGCTGGTGCCACACCACAGGTTGGGGAAGATGATTCATGTGACACCCAGTATGCTGGGAGCTGCTACCACCAGACCATCATTAGACTCACAGGGTGTTCTAACCCAAGTGCTTCAGCCACCTGCACTTACACAGAAGCTTGCAGATTAGAAACAAAGCGCTCAGGCCTGGTAATACTGGTTTTGATCCTATATAATCTCTGCAACACAGACTGGAAAATAGGATCCCTTGCTATTACCTGCCCTATATAGGATTTCTAGGCTCCCTCCTCACCTGAGGCTTTTGGTGATATCCATGTCCAGTGACTAGCTGAGCAGTGCTCTGGGTGACATGCTAGAGGTGGAGCTCAGCAATAGGGCCCAGGAGCCTCTGCCCTGTGTCCCAAGCCTGTGGGTGGGGCTCTGATCTCCCAGACCCACTGAATCAAAGTCTGCCTCGCCTTGCACATGTCCTGTTCTTAGCACCCATCTGTGGTAGTGAACTCTGCCACGGTTACCTCATCTTTTTTTCCTTTTTCTTTCTTCTTTTTGTTTGTTTGTTTATAAGGCTGGGAATGGGACCCAGGGCCATCCTAGGCATGGATGCATGCTAAGCAAGCACTCTACCTCTTAGCTGTACCCCTATCCTGGTGATAACCAAAATGGATGCATTTTGAAGTTTAATTCCTAGGAGCAGGACTATTTCCACTATTTGCTCCCTCATCCCCTTTCTTCAATGTGATCTATCCAGGTATCTCTGCCTCACACTGCTACTCCCTAGTGACCATCTCCCTGCCTGACTGGCCCCACTGACTCCCCACACCCAGTATAAACTGGGCAGATATGCCACAATGGCAATTGGAACTTTGGCCTGCTTGCTTTAAGCCACCAGTTAACTCCCCTGATGGAAGTCTGTGGCCCTCGCCACAACTGACTCCACATGGGCTGCTCTCCCTGCATTTGTAATAATCTTTATGTGCGTTTGGCTGCCTAATCACAAAAGGGATAAGTGCCTTCCATCCTGGGACCCTAAATGAAATCAACACTCCCAGCAGTTGGTGTCATGTGCCCTAGGAGCCATAAGAAGCCAGCACACTCCAGGGAACCTTCCCCAGCAGCAGGAGAAGGTTCCAAGGGGCTCTTCAGGTCCCTGCCCCAGAAATAAGGAAGTCGGAACAGAGGCCCAAGAGTAAGGAGTGGAACTTTCCGAGGGCATGTCCCCCATGCCTCGTGCTTGTTATTCTAGACCCCCAATCTTGTAGAGTTTAACAGTAAGTCTTAATGACGGTCACTTTAGGATAGGAAGGACCGTGGGTGAAATCACTTGGTGCAGAGTCCTCCAACAGCGAGCATCCGGTAAATGCGGGAGAAGGCTGCTGCCCAGCCTGCCCCGCCATCCACTGCGGGCCAGCGGAAAGCGGCCACTAGCGGGGACTCAATGGGGTCACAACTGGGAGACGCGGGCAGCAAGCGCGAGAGCGGGTGGACACAAACTAGGTGTGCGCGGCTACTCTGGGCACGGCGCTGAAGAGTTACAAGACAGTGACCCGTGCCCAGGAACAAGCGCATACCACCAATGGGGCGGCCTAAAGCCGGCGGAGCAGCGCTCCCAGGGCCACTGCGCAGGCGCGCGCTCAGAGGGGTGGAGCGCGAAGGAGCTTGGCCACTGCGCAGGCGCGCTCGGGATCCGCCCCACGGCGCAGCTGCGCAGCTCCGGATACTGCGCAGGGCTCCGCCACGCGTGACCCGCCGACCCTGAAGTCTCTGCGCTGTCATGGCGGCCGTGAGGGCCCTAGTGGCCCCGAGGCTGGTGGTCGCCTCCGCGTTTGCGCCGTTCCCCGAGCTCCTGCGGCCGATGTCTCTCTGTGGGCTGGCCCCCTCCCCGCGCGCGGCCCTCCACGGCTCGGCGCCGCGCCCCGGGGCCAGGGTTGCGCTAGTGAGTGCGGCTCCGCCGGCCGAGCTCGCCCCCTGCCCTGCACGGTCCCCGTCGGCCGAGCTCGCCCCCTGCCCTGCACGGTCCCCGCCGGCCGAGCTCGCCCCCTGCCCTGCACGGTCCCCGCCGGCCGAGCTCGCCCCCTGCCCTGCACGGTCCCCGCCCCCTGGTCAGCTCCCCTCTTTCTGCAGGTGCTGTCGGGCTGCGGAGTCTATGACGGGTCGGAGATCCACGAGGCCTCAGCGTAAGTCCTCAGCGGGAGCTCTCCAGCGATTTAGAAAAGCTCCTATTGTCCATACCTTTTCTTGCATTAAAAATGGCAAAAGTTGTCTTCACTTCGGTGACGTTTCACTTGCTTTTTAGTACGTATAGAAACCTGGGGATCAGGCTTAGTGCACTTGGTGTTTCCTCTGCAAGGAAGCTAACTTCATCTGTTGGTGGGGTGCAGAAGGTAATCTTCTAGTGGCCGAGGTAGTGACTGGGGTTTTTTTGCTTTGCTGGAAAAGTAGGCAGGCAGTAGGGGGCTCAGTGCCCACAGGCAGATCCCCCACCTCACTTCTGGTTCATAGGTTAGAAAGGAACATCATCCACTAGGAGCCCCAGGCTGTGGCTCTGCAGGGCAGCCACCCTGAGGGTGCTACACTGTGCTAGCTTGGGCCTGGAGTTGGCCCAGACATAAGGAGCCTCTTGAGTGATTGAACTGGTGTGCTAAAGGGCCTGATGCCTTTCCTAATTTGGGCATGGATAGAAAGAGCAGATGAGGCAGGAACTGGCCAGTGAATGGGGATGTCCTGGCTAATTGGCAAGGCACTGTTTGAAGCATTAAGGTGACCAAGACCAGATCTTATCTGCAGGCACTGTGTGATCTTGGGCAAGTTATGACCCTTCCTGCCTCAGTTTCCTCCTCTGTGTATGGGGGGGGGCAGTCAGAGTAGCATTCTGGGCAGGATTAGGGAACCTGGACTTGTTGGTATTTGGAATTGTGGCAGACAGAGGAAAACCCTAGCAATTCCAGTATTGCCCCCACTGTGGTCTAGTGCCCTTGGGGAGGTGGACCTCATTCTATCCTGTTCCTATGTAGCTCTGCACCTCTCCCCCACTACTCATGCAGGAAAGTTAGGGGAGATGAGGAATGGGACTTCCCAAATGGTAACCAGAGGCCCCCTCATTCTTCTGTGTTGCATACCTGCCGCTGGCCCCTCTATTACAGGGCTGGGGCCTTCCAGGAAACTGAGGCAGCACAAAGACACCCCCCCCTTCCAAACCCCGTTCTTGTGATCAAGTCAGAAAGGTTTCAGACATGCTGCTTAGGGTAACAGGAATGAGTTTACTGCAGGGTAAGAAAAGGGAAAGGGGACACTCTCAAGGGACAGAGTGGGAAGTCTCAGAGAGGAGAGGGACTAAGTACCTCTCCTGCACTCCAGTTTTATTTGGGATCCCAGGAAAGTTTCCAAGAGTCCCGCCCAGGTCCACCTCTTGACTTTTGACTGATAGCAAGGTGACATCAGACCCTTCAAGTTCCTACTGCCTTGACAACTTAGGTCACCTTGTCCTATGCTGACCAGTTCTAATTGGATTCTTAACCATACATTCTTATAGATTTTATAGTTTGGAAGAATTATTCTTATCTCCCTCAGTTTCAGAATCTGGTCTATGAAAAGGCTCACAAAAGTCTCCCCCTTCAGGGTAACCTCGGTTTCTCCCATCAATATTATCTCAGTCCTGCATTTTTAATGCAGGTAGTTTGCTGAGGAATATGTGACATAGCCTGTCCACTCAGGCCAGGCAGGGCTTCACGTAAATTGATTCTTGGAAAATAAATATGGGGCTAGGCACACACCTGTAATCCCAGTGACTGAGGAGGCTGAGGCAGGAGGATTGTGAGTTCAAAGCCAGCCTCAACTTAGCGAGATCATAAGCAACTCAGTGAAACCTTGTCTCTAGATAAAATATAAAAGGCTGGGGATGTGGCTCAGTGGCTAAGTGCCCCTGCGTTCAATCCTGGTACCAAAAAAAAAAAAAAGGAAGAAAGCATGTGGGGGTCAGCAGAGTGGGCCCATTTTATAGAATTATTTCCTAAACTTGTGCTCCCACCATCCTCTCCTGCTTGTCCCCTAACACTTGGAGGCTCATGTGGGCAGCCTGCAGGAGGTCAGATAGGTTCTGAGTGAAGAAGGGTGCCTAGGAACCTGAATGCCTCTGGGCTGTGACGCCCACCCATTCGCCACCCGGCTGCCCCCTCTTTTGTCTGAAAGCCAGCTTCTGCAGTTCTGCTGTGGTCCACCAGGGGGAGGTGAGTTGGCACCACTGGCATTTGGGTCATTAGCAAAGTGACCCTAACTTTGCAGAGCAAATATGGTATCCATAAACACTAGGAATTTTTGTCTGTCACTTAGCTGAAATCCATTTTCAGAAGCACGTTGACATGAATCTTCTGGATCGGGCACGCCCCAAGCTGTGGTCTTGTGGTTCTCTCCCTGTAGGATCCTGGTGCACCTGAGCCGTGGCGGGGCTGAGGTCCAGATCTTTGCCCCTGATGTCCGTCAGATGCACGTGGTCGATCACACCAAGGGGCAGCCTTCTGAGAGTGAAAGCAGGTGTGTCCAGGAGCACCTGCTTTGCTCGGGATATTCCCCACCCGCTATGCTTTCTGGAAGAGTGGGAGCACCTCGCGGGCTGCCTCTTGTGACTCCAGGTGCTCACGCCTTCCTTTCCACACAGGTAGTGCCTCTCAGGTGCTGCTGCTGTGTTTCCTGGGAGCCCCATTTAGGACCCCTGTCGTTTCCCCTCCTGAGACCCTGGCCCCTAAAGCCTGCACCTGCCCCATAAGCCTGGGCAAGCGGTTGCTTCCTGCCGCGACTGAGCCTCGGCTGGTTCACACCTCTGGAGTAGTGGTGCCTTCCCCACCCTCCTCTCTCCTACCTCCTGATGAGTTTCCACTCCTGGTGGCTCCTGGCTCCAAGTCCTTGGGCAGGGCCAACCTCTGACATAAATTTAGGGCCACTGGAATTCTCTCACCTCTTCTGGGTGGCCATCCTAAGTGCTGATTGACAAGCATCAAGTCTTCACACACGAACACAGCCCCTCTGTGCTGCAGGCTGCACGCAGGACGCGTCCCCGTGGGTACCTGTTTTCTGTTCCTGACTGCACACTGTTCCTCTGTATCCCTCTGTTCTCTCCCAGGAACGTCTTGACGGAGTCAGCCAGGATCGCCCGAGGCAAGATCTCTGACCTGGCTCAGCTCAATGCAGCCAACCACGATGCTGCCATCTTCCCTGGAGGCTTTGGAGCTGCCAAAAATCTGTGCGTATCTAAGCTTCAGGGTCTAAGCAGCATGCACACCTGCCCTGAGCTGAAGGTCTGGCTGTGTGCCTGCCTGTGTCCAGCTCAGGGAGCCACGTTGGCCTGGGGCCCAGGTAGCATTTCAGTGAGGCGTGTCTCTTTCCCTGCATTCTCTGAGCTCTCGTGGCACCTGGTGGCCCTCTTAGCTAGGCTCCATGCTGGTGGATCTCGTCTGGGCAGAACCAGCCACTGATGCGTGTTCCCTCCCGGGACCAGTTCTCTCAGAGCCTGTAGCAGGGAAAATTGGTCTCTGTAGCCCGAGAGGGAAGGGCCTTGCTTGCTCTCCTCCTGGGCTGCTGTGTAGGAAGCAGCGTGGTGACTGAGGGCCTGGCATGCAGCCAGAGTCTCAGGCGGAGGTCCTCATCAGGTTCGCTAGAGGTCCTTTCTCTGTCCCTGGTCATTTGTGGAAGTCCTCCTGGGGCTGGCCTAGGTGTGTTGTAGCCTAGAGATGGCAATGCTGATTCTCCTGGGAGAGCCTTGAACAGAGCAAGTCCCCAGGCCATTTCCCTGGTGCTATCAAGTGCCACACTGCCCCGTGGGAGCCAGAGTCCAGCTGCCTGCACCTCTGCCTGCCCCATGTCCAGCCCTCTGGTGCTGCACCCCCAGAGCCCGGGCCGCCCGCCCCTCGCCTGCTGATCTCTGGGTGCCCTTCGTGCTGCCCCGCCCACCTGGCTGCCCTTCCCCGTGTGTCCTCCCCCTGCATGTGGCATTCACACCTAGGTTGCAGGCATGAGGCTTTCCTGACCCACGTGTCCAGCAGGAGTCATTTGAATGTTTGAAAGCGGACTCCCCTCCACTGCCTTGACCTCCACTGAACCAGCTCCTGAGGCCCTAAGACTCTGTGCGGGAGGAGTGGGCGCACCCGGGTGCTGCAGCCAGCTGCCTTGAGGCCGGGTACCTGCTGATTGTCCTTTTCTCACTGTGGTCAATGACAAATTGACCTTTATTCAGCTGGCAACAACACAGCAACCTGGTTGGCCACTCACCTTCTGGGCACCCTGGACCTACAAGGGAGGGTCTGGCCCATTGGGCCTTCCTGATACAGAAACTCAGCTCCTGGGTTCTTCCCGCTCCCACCCCTGCTGCAGCACCCACACCGCTCTCCCTCGAGGAACTGTCCTGCCTCACATGCACTCCCTGTCCCCAAACCAGGGAGCTGGTGAGTGCCCCCTGGGCAGGCAGCAGGCACGTGCCTTTCCTGGATTCCCGTGTCCTTTGGTTTTGGGGACACGGCAGGGTGTGCGCATCGTCAGCTGGGTTTCCGCTTCCTACGGGACCAGTGTTCCCCTGAAAGACAGAAGAGTTCATGTGACCGTACCCCTGCCCATCGGCACCTCGCCCCGTGGGTGAGAGGCCAGCGGTAGGGTCTGTTCATGCCTCCTGTGTGGCTTGCTGGTGTCCCCTGTGTTTCTTAGAAGTAAACTCTGGGGCAGTCCTCGGTGTTTGAGGACTGTGGGTCTCCGTCACACTGTTGTCTGGGCTCGCAGTCCGCTCTGGGAGACGCTGCGGTGTTCTTTGTGACCTTGTCAGGAGAAAGGTAGGCCCTCCATAGAATGGCTGCCGCTGGGCCTGCAGGGCAGGGTCCCGCAGTGACAGAGGCTCGGTGGGGATCCAGTCCCCCTCCCCCTCCTGACCTCAGGCCCTCTCTGGCCACCACTGCCAGCGCCCTGTTTACATGGGAAGCCTGCTCTGTGCTTGTGTTCCCACTGGCCATGGTCTAGTTCAGAGCTGGTTTGTAAGCTGTCCAGCGCGGCCCTGCTGGGGAGGATAGGTTGTCCCTTCTGGTGGTCACTAGGTGTTTCTAGTAGTTTGTTTTTAGTGGTGTTTGGAGTTACAGTTAACAGGCACACATTTAAAGGGTGAATTTGGCAAGCTCAGCACACTATGTACCCTCTGGAATAGTGGCTGCGACAGGACTCTGAGTGTCCCTCACCACCCGAAGAGTGAGGACCCAGAGTGGGAGGAGAACACAGAGCAGGCCGAGGTTCTGGAGGCAGAGCGTGGAGAGGGCGTGTGAGTGTGAAAGGTTCTGCCAGCTGCACACCCCCAGTGCAGAGGCCTCCCCAGTGGCCTGCTCTCAAAGGCAGGAAAGTGGGCATTTGCCAAAGGTCGTTTCAGTCCTTTTTGGTGAAGCAAGCATCTCTTGCTGTTTTGGGGCTAGTTGCAGTTCTTTTTCTGGAACTTTTCGGGGCTTGTGCCTGGATCCTGGAGCTGGGTGTAGTTGCAGACTGGCTCTGTCCATGCCTGGCGGCCTCCCAGCTGCCTCTTGCCTTCCTGCTGCTCTATGGGAAGCAGGAACGTGCCTGTGGCCACGTGGGCGAGGGCAGCCGTGCACCCCTGCACATCCACACACACTGCTTGCTTGGGTTGCTAGTGGGCTGAGGTGGCCCTGAGGGTGGGGTCGCACCTGGAGTGTGGATGCGTGGGCACACCACACCACGGCCTGCCAGGCCACGCTGAGAAGGCCCTCTCCTCTGGCAGGAGCACATTCGCTGTCGACGGGAAAGATTGCAGAGTCAACCAGGACGTGGAGCGGGTCCTGAAGGAGTTCCACGGAGCTGGGAAGCCCATTGGGTAGGTTCACCTGCCGCTGGGCAGCCTCTGCTGGAGCCGCCCCCCTGAGCCATGGGCTCCAAAACCACTCACTTGTTGTCCTCGGGAGTCCATTTCTTTTGAGAACTGACCAGGAAGGAGGGGCTCCTCCCCTCTGGTGGGGACTTTGAGAATTATCGTGGCTGCAGCCGTGTCCCTGTCCTGACCTCCTGTCCTCCATCAGAGCAGCCCCTGAGCCTGTGCAAGCTCACCCCCCTCTCTCTCACTGGTGCGGTCACAGTGGCCGGGCAGTGCTGCGAGTTTCCCTCAGGAAATCCCACGCAGCCCAGGCTCAGTGTCCCACGTGGACTCGTCCCACTGCAGCCCACAGCTGCCACTGCACTTGCTGCTCAGTCCTCCAGCCCTGTTGCAGCTCATTCCCCGGCTGGAGGTGGTGCAGTGTGGAGGTGGCCCTGCCCTGGAGACCGCCCCTGGGCTGGGCACCCCTGAGGAGCAGAGCAAGCCCAGGTGCGCTATGGGAGGAGTGGTCAGGGTGCGGGCTGTGCGGGGACCCCAGCATTGCGACAGTCTACCTAGGGGCCTGGGGTTTCCCTGCGTTGGCTGTCTGGGGTCAGAGCTCTTGGTGGAGAGCAGAGCAGGTCCCCTAGGGCAGGCACTGGTGCCTTAAACCGGGCCTGTCCTTGGCACCTGGCCACCACAGGAGCACTGTAGGCTCTGTCCTGGGGGGTGGATGGAGCTGTCACAGCCCCTGGCCTTCTGCGCCTGGGGCCCTCTGATGCACACCAGCTGGGCTGTGCACACTGAAGGTCACAGCACAGGTCAGAGCTCAAGCAAGACTGCCAGCAGAACCTGATGTGTCCCCACGCCAGCCGTGCCCCCAGACAGGGTCTGGTTTGAGCAGTGGGTACAGATGTGTTCCCTGTTGACGAGTGGAGACCATCAACGAGGCCAGTGGCCTCGTCCATTTTCTCAGTAAGAGGACGTCTGTGTTCCTGTACGCCAGGGTTCTGGGTGTCACAGGGGCTCTGGGCGGCTGGCAGCCACTTGGCTTGGGGGAGCTTGGCCTCACTGTGCCCTTTGGTCCTCACAGGCTGGCTCTCCCAGGACTGTCCAGTGCCTGGGTGCCCGAGGGGTCTTTTGGCTCACGGAGAGCCCCAGGTCAGAATTATCGTGGCTGCAGCCGTGTCCCTGTCCTGCGAGGCACCGGTTTGCGGGGTATGGACAGTGCCCCAGCTCCACAGCCCCTGTGCTCACGGGGGGCTTTCTCTTTTCAGCCTGTGCTGTATCGCGCCTGTCCTTGCGGCCAAAGTGCTCAGAGGTGTTGAAGTCACCGTGGGCCATGAGCAGGAAGAGGGTGGCAAGTGGCCTTACGCAGGGACTGCCGAGGCCATCAAGGCCCTGGGCGCCAAGCACTGTGTGAAGGATGTGACCATATCCTTTTTGGTGGCTATGGCCTCTGTGGTGACATGGTGCACATGGGACACTCTTTTGGCCCTGCAGGGTCCCCTGGCAGAGGGCCTCGTCCCCAAGAACTGTACTTGCTGGTTTTGCTGTGGATGTCCTTGGCCAGGAGGGCAAGCCTAATGCCATGTGTTTGGAGGATGGGCCTGCATTGGCCAGGGAAGTCCGTGTGTCCATGCCCACTGCCCATCTGCTCACTGAGTGGTCAGTGAGCGTCCCCTGAATGGCAGAACCCTGGGTCGCCTGGTCTGTGGTCCTGAGCACGGTGAGGGGAGGTGCCTGTGGGGACCTTGGGGGCCCAGGCACCACCCGGCGGTCAGGAGGGCTGGGGCTGTGGAGAGCCTCCTCCCAGGTGGAGCGCGTTGGAGCGCATTGGAGCGGTGCCTCTGGAAGCAGCTCTCTGCTCCCTGGGCTCCCAAGCTTCCACCTGACCGAGGGGCCCAGCGGCCAGCAGGGGCCCCGAGGCAGGGAGGACACCTGGGGAGAGTCTGCGCCCGCCGAGGCTCGATTTTTCCTTAACTTCAGCGCACGAAGCTCACGTGGACCAGAAAAACAAGGTGGTCACGACCCCGGCCTTCATGTGCGAGACCGCCCTCCACCACATCCACGACGGGATCGGGGCCATGGTGAAGAAGGTGCTGGAACTCACAGGGAAATGACGCGGATCCGGCGGCCACCCATGACAGCTGGGCACAGGGCCAGAGCTGCCTTTCTGTTTGACTTCATGTTTTCTGCTTGAGCAGGGAGCTCTGCTGTGGGACAGGGGTCTGGCCTGAGGCTCCTCGACACAGGAGGGTGGCCAGCCACACCTTGGGCAGCTGAGCATTCCTTGTCCACCCCTGAGGAGCAAGCAGTCGCCACTTCCCCTAGCAACTGTCCCTGTCCAGGAGAGACCCTGAGGGAAATACCACGCTGTGGTCTGGGTTTGGAAGAAAACGAATTGTTATGTTACCTTTCTGATAATCAGGAGACCAGAAGTGCACGCTGATGGGTGGAGACCCTCTGGTCTCAAGTGGACGCTGATTAAGGGAGGGACTTTCTGTAGCAGGCAGTCCTTTAGCTGCAGCATGGCTCCTGTCCAAGCTGGAAACTCCTGACAGGGACGTCTGGGCCCTCTGGAATTGGTGAATGGGCTGTATCCATGAGGTTTCCTAAATCAGCCTCAGTTCTCTTAGTTTGGGGGGTAGGGGGAAATTGATGTCACTCAGCCACCCTCTGTGACTGGGTGGGTGGACTGTGGATTCCCGGGTGGCAGAAGCTCACAGGTGTGTGGAGGGGGAAGAATAAAGGCTGCTTGTGTGCTGGTGTCCTTCAGATGACTTTGGTTGGCGAAGGGCTCTCTCAGCTGGAAGTCCCAGTCTGCACACTTCACCTGGACGTCCTTCTGCTCTGTGGGCCTGAACAGACGGGCCCGCGGGGGCAGTGGCTGCAGCCTGGGCTTGGTTGGTAGAGCGCTGTTTGTTCACATGTGCAGGGGGCACTAGCCAGACCCGGCCGTGGGCCCTGTGCAGAGCAAGACAGGGCCCTGGTTGTGCAGTGTCTGCACACCCCCAGCCCCCTCCCACTACAGTGCCTCTGGCCCTGGCCAGGCCCTGCAGAGCTGAGGGGAGGGGTCCTGCAGCTCCCTATGCTGCAAAACAGTTTCAGGTTCTTCTCCATGGGACCGTGATTCTTGGTGGCCTGTCTTTCCACCAGTGCTGAGCCTTGGGTGGCAGCAGGTTGGTCCTTGTGTGAGGCAGCCAAGGAGCCTTCCTGGGCTATCCAGAGTCAGGAGGCCAGGGTCCAGGCTCCCTTCCTCCTGAGCGTGTGTGCTGAACCCACACAGGTGTACACGTGTTCACACGTGGCATCTGGAGAAGTGCACAGATTACACATGCGCTCACAGGTCTCCGGAGTGGCAGTGCTGACCCTGAGTCCCCTGTGCATCCTGCCAGCCGCCGTCCACATGAGGATAGCTCCTTTCATTTAGCCCTTGGTGTGAGCACCTTGTCCATATCCCACTTGCTCAGGTAGAGGCCCAGGGAGTGGCCACTTCCCCTGTGGCACTGCAGTGGCGGGCATGACATTGCACACCTGCGCAGGCTCCAGAACGAGTGGCTCTGGGCGATGACGTGGCAATGTAGGTTCATCCCCAACAGATGGACCATCCAATGGGACGGCAGTAGTGGAGAAGCTGTGTGGCCTTTGGTGGCCACCCAAGGGCAGTTAACCACTGAGGGATGTGAGGACTTGGGAGAGGCCCCCAGACACTGAGCAGTTAGTTAGGTCTGCACAGGCCTTGGGGACAGATGTTACTGTCTGTCTGTGCTCAGGTGTGCAGCTGGCTGTCCAGTCCAAAGTGTCCAGGTGCACGTTCTCTGACCTCATTCTGAAGTGGCCAAGTGTGGCCACACCCAACTGGCAAGTGTGTCCAGAGCACACCTGCAGTCGCCGTGTCTGTGCCCTGCACTGTCCCTGCTCACGGAGCTCCTGGGGGGCTGGAGCCGAGGGGAACGCAGGTCCAGGCAGGACAGCACTAGGACCCCACTGTAGAGGTGGTCTGGATTGTGGGGAGCCCAGGGCAGGGCTGCGCCGGAGCAGAACTGAGGCCTCAGCCAGCGACTTGTTGGACAGTATTTGAGGCCCTGCTGTGTGCACTCTTGTAGGTGCCAGTACTGCCCCTCAGGGCTGGGCACCCATGGGCAGGGGTGAGCCTGTGGATGAGCTGGGAACAGGTCAGGACAGGGAGCAGGCCTCATGGAGGAGGGAGCCAGCCGGGAAGTAGGGGGCAGCTTGCCTGGAGCCAGGCCTGCACTGGCCTGGAGGGGCTGTGGTGTGGGGCTCCACACCAGGGGTCCTGGCAGAGCCGTCTTGGCTGGGCCCCACTCCCAGGTCGACGGAGGGAGGTAGGGGAAGGTGCACCACCCCACAGCTTCCCCCACTACCGCCGTCCCCCCAGACGGCCCATCTGTTGGTGGGTGAGCCTACATTGCCATGTCATCGCCCAGAGCCACATGTTCTGGGGCCTGGACAAGAGTGCAATGTCATGTCCACCTCTGCAGTGCCACACAGAATGGCTTTACTGCCCCAGAAATCCTCTGCATCCACCCCCAGCCCTGCCAACAGCTGGACCTTGTCCAGAAGGTTGGCGCTCTCACTCCTACCTGCCCAGTCTTCTCGGACTGGCTTCTCCCTATGCTCATGGCTGACAGCTCACTCCTATTTGGCACTGCACTCTGCTCTGCTGCCTGGACGCACACCATCTGTTGTCATCTGCTGAAGGACACTTCGCACTCACCTTCAGCCGTCAGGAGGTGAACTGCTGTGCGGGTTTTTCTGTGGAGTGAGTGGTCAGCTCCTGTGGGTGAATGGAAGGAATGCCGTGTGCTGGCTTTGGCTGTTCTGCTGCACGGGTAATGGCTTCTCGTTGTAATCTGCAGTTCCCTAGGGACGTGTGGTGTGCTTTCCTGCCACCTGTGTGGACCTGCTTGGCAGGTGTCTGTCGAGGTCTTTTACCCATCTTTAATCAGGGTCCGTTCCCTCCTGTGGAGTGTTGGAGTTCTTTACAGTCTGAGCTGCCTGTCCTTTAGCCCCCATCTCTTGCCATTCTTTGCCAGTCAGTTGCTGGTCCCGTGTGTCTCCTGACGGTGTCTTCTCAGCAGGAATCTGATTTTAACCTCTCCTGGCAGTGGTTGGATGTGGAAGGTCTGTGTCTGGCTCCCCTTCTTCATTCCCTGATCTCTGCACGTGGATGTCTGGTTGTTCTAGCACCTGTGTTGACAAAGGCCGTCTCTGCACCTGTGTTGACAAAGGCCTCTCCGCCTGTCAAGGTCAGCTGGCTGTGTCCATGTCTGGGCCCAGTTCCTCCACAGACCTCTGTTCCTTAGCCACTTCTCCACCGTTTGGTTACTAGACTTTACATCGAGTCTCCAAGTACAGTAGCGTTGCTTCCTCAACTCTGTTCCCTTCAGTTTTGTGTCGACTCTTTGGGGCTACACCTTGCTATGTAAGTTGTTGTTGTTGTTTTCCCTTGTTTTGGCACTGGAGATTGAGCCCAGGGGTGCTTTACCACTGAGCCACATCCCCATCCCTTTTGATTTTGAGACAGGATCTCACTAAGTTGCTGAGACTGGCCTTGGATTCAATTCTCCTGCAACTTGGGAATCCCAGCTTTCCAAGTTGCTGGAATTACAGGTGTGCACCTCCATGCCCTGCTGCTATATAAACTGTAAAACCAGTTGCTGGTATCCATAAAATAATTTGCTGGGGTTTTTACTGAATTGTGTTAAATCTACAGATCAAGTTGGGCAGGACTGATGTCTCAACAGCACTAAGTCTTCCCTCCATTTGTTTAGATCTTTGATTTCGTTCATCAGAGTTTTGTAGTTTTTCATAGATCTTATACACATTTTGTTAGATTCATACCTAATATTTCACATTGGGGATTCTAATGCAGATTAGATTTTTAATTTTAATTTCAAATTCCAGTTGTTAATTGCTGGTGTATAGGAAAACAATTAATTTGGTGTATTAACCATGTGTTCTGCCACCTTGGAATGATTGCCTTTTAGTTCCAAGAGGTATTTTTGCCAGATCTCTTGGATTTTCTACATAGACAATCATTTCATCTGCAAACAAAGATGATTTTATTTCTTCCCAATCTGCATACCTTTTATTTCTTGTTGTGGTCTTACTGCATTGGCGAGGACTTCCAGTATGAGGTGGAACAGCAGTGGTGAAGGAATGTACTCGTCATGTCCTCATCTTGGCAGGAATGTCCTAGTTTCTCAGCATTAAGAATGATGTTCGTCTCACTCTAATCAGAATGGAAGTTGTCAAGAATACAGGCAAGAGGCTGGGGCTGGGCTCAGTGGTAAAGCACTTGCCTCGCACATGTGAGGCACTGGGTTCGATCCCCAGCACCACATAAAAATAAATAAAGGTATTGTGTCCATCTACAAATAAAAAAAAAAAGGATACAAGCAGGAATAAGTGTCGGTGAGGATGTTGGGAAAAGGCACACCCATACACTGCTGGTAGGACTGCAAATTGGGGCAACCACTATGGAAAGCAGTATGGAGATTCCTCAGAACACTGGGATGGAACCACCATTTGACCCAGCTATCCCACTCTTAGGTTTATACCCAAAGGACTTAAAATCAGCACACCGCAGTGACACAGCCACATCAATGTCTATATCAGCTGAGTTCACAATAGCTAAACTATGGAACCAACCCAGGTGGCCTTCAACAGATGAATGGGTAAAGAAATTGTGGTGTACATACACAATGAAATATCACTCGTCCATAAAGAAGAAAAAAATTATGGCATTTGTGGGTAAGCGGATGGAAGTAGAGAACATCATGGTAAGTGAAATAAGCTAATCCCCAAAACCAAAAGCTGAATGTTTTCTCTGATAAGCAGATGCTGATCCATAGTGAGGCAGGGGGAGAGGGTAGGGAAGAGTGAAGGAACTTTGGCTTGTGCAGAGGCGAGGGAGGGGAGGGGTGGCAGTGGGGATGAGAAGGACCGTAGAATGAGACAGACATTGCTACCCTACATACCTGTGTCACTACTGGAGTGACTCTGACCATGCACAGCCAGAGGATGGAGAAGATGTGCTCCTTTGTGTACAGTGTGTCAAAATGCATTCTACTGTTTAAAAAAAGTAAAAACACAACATAGGATATTAGCAGCGAAGGAGGAATCATATCAACCTTAGGCACTTAAAAAAAACAACAACAAGAATGATGTAGTTGTCGGTGTTTTGTAGGTATTCTCTATCCCACGGAGGAAGTTTTCCTCTGATATTAGTTTCCTGAGCAGGAATGTGTGTGAACTCTTTCTCGGGTTTCATGGATGGGTAGTGGGGTTTGGCAGGTGGCTTTCTGATGTGTTGATGTGATCGTGTGCTCTTTCACCTGTTGATGTGGTGGGCTACATTAATTGATTTTCACAAGCTGTGCCAGCTTTTCCTGAGACAGACCCGTTTGGATTTGGTGTGTAACTATTTCTAGATGTTATTAGGTTGGATTTGCTGGTATTTTCTCAAGGAGGTTCTCTGTGCTCGTGGAGATGCTGGTCTGTGGTCTCCTTTTCTTGGACTTCTGTGTCTGGCTGCGGTGATGTAATGCTGGCCTTACAGCATGGATTCGGATGTGTTCCTTCTGCTCTGACCTCGGCGGCCACCGTGGAGAGCTGCTGTTGGGCTCGCAGTGACCCGCCTGGTGCTCTCCACTGAAGGCCGTCTGTGGCTGAGGTTCGTGGGTGTCGCCTGCTGTCTCTGGGAGCTGGTCCCTTCCCTTTGTCGGGGCAGCTGGGAGCCCAAGGCTGTGCTTCTG